TATATATATATATATATATATATACTAATGCTTTCCTTCTTAGACTTTACAGACCTGAAACTTGCCTCTTGCACTTATTCATTGTTGCTCTTATAGTTGTGTAAATTGTTTCCTTGTCCTCATTTGTAAGTCGCTTTGGATAAAAGCGTCTGCTAAATGACTAAATGTAAATTTCACTTTTTGTGTGTCGTGTATTGTATAAGCTTGCTCAATGTGCATGAGCAAATGGGTTGTGCTTTCATATGTCACATTGCAATTAGTTTTTATTTCACATGACATTTCAGAGCTCAAAATTAAGGATTTACCAAATTTATCTCTGACTACACCATAAATAAATGAATTATTATTTCATAGCCATGAATTTGAATTAATGTGTTAAAACAAGCTAAATTTAGCTGTATGCATGCACTTTTTATTTAACAAAACCGTTCTATAAAAAACAACTACACAATTTAACAATTAATAATTAACAATTAACAATTTAACAATTAATAATTGTCATGTGTCTAAAACAGTAATTTGTGCTGGCTAAAGGTCTCATATCTCATGTAAAGTCCTTGTTTTTGTAGGGAGCAACAGCGAGGACTGACAGGATTAGAGACTCTGAGGTGCCGTACGACTCAAACACCTGGCGTAAAACTGGCATTGCGAAGTAATTAATTTAGTTGTAAAAGGCTTACGGCTTACATTTACAAAGACTGAAACGAAGGATGTTTTTGCTATAATTGTAGTGAGTACTGTGAGTACAGTTTAGTTCTAGGTTTATTTTATTAACGAAAATGTTTTTTTCAATTCCAGTTTTCTTTTTTTGTTTGTTTTCATTTCCTATAATAACCTTGATCACCAGTTAACTACACATATATTAGTTAATCCCCTATTAAAGCAATGTTATTGTAACAACAATGATAATTCAACTATATTTACAAAAATAACCAAGCAAAAGAAAGCAGATGATAATGAAGAGATGATCACGTGCACACTGTTACGATTGGCCCATTAATAATCTGTTCAAAAATGTTTTAAGCGAAAGCAGCAACCACTGCTGCTTACATAAGGATTTATTTTTTGAAATCTGGAGCTCTTGAAAGCAGCAGGACTGTGGGTGCTGTCTATTTCACAGAGAACTGATCGCACCAGTTGCATTTTCAAGCATGGTTGCTTCGCGCAAGTAAGCAGGAGCGCACATGCTTTTTCAACAGTCGCAGGCATCACATCATAGTATGCACAAGTGATTATCCTCTCGGTATCCCATCTGCTTTCCTTTGTTCGCGCGAACACAATTATTGTTGTCAGTCGTGCTGCTTCTCAATTACAAGATCACTTTTGGACGAATATTGGACCATCTTTATTGTGGAGCCCTGCTTTTAAGAAAACAATTTACAAAATATTTTCAACCAGCCAAAGTGGCTAGTGGGAGCATCTGACTAACACACCAGAGCTGAAATCTACCCACATTTGTCTGATTGTGTTGTCAAGCCCTGATAACTAGCCATAGTGTGTAAATTACAGAACGTACTTTCCTGTCTGAAGCATTACTGAACTCATAAATCAATTAATAGGAACAACTTCGAATAAAAAACATTTTGACTCACTTTTTCTGCTTCTTTGAGTATACAATGATCGCTATAACCATGACAACCAACGCCAGCACAGCACCCACACTCCCCAAGACGATGGCCAGCGTGTTTTCTGTAAATAAAATTAATACATTAAATACAAACAAAACCAAAAAAAGCAACAACACGATAATCATTCAAAGGAAATTTATTTTAAAAATAAATGATAAAACTTAAAGTACATTGAAATAATAATTCATTGGATTTACTAATTTTTAAGGTATGTGATTGCAAACAGTTTATATGAGCTGAATTTAAAAAACAAATTAAGTTGAATGTTACTAAATTTAATTTGTTCAAAAATAGCCCATATAAATTGTTTGCTACAATTTAGCAAAAAATACATTTTTTCAGTGTAAACATCTGTTGTGAGCTTTGAGATTGTTGGAAATTGTGCACAAAACTACATTACCCATTATGCTCTACAGAACATCCCACTAATCATAGTCGTATTTAACTCCGCCCACTCCCATGAAGCAGTGTAAAAGGTGCAATAAAGTCTCCATTATACTCTAAAAATACTCAAATATTTTGTGTAAGATACAGTACATGTATTTCTCAATACATTTGAAATACGTACATTTATTGATTTAGCAGACCTTCATTCGAAGTACAGTAAATGAAAAAAAAGGGGGAATACAACAAGTAACACATACTGTAGTGCCTAAACTTGCTCTTCTTTTCATCAAGATTCATTATTCAAGAGAAAAATGGTTCAATGATTAGTGGAGCTTTCCAATGCAAATTAAAACTTTTTTATTACAACCACAAACCTCCTTCAGCCTCAGGTTAAATTCCTGACATGTCAGACATTTCTTAGGTGATCTTTCATGTTGTTTCAACATTGAAGGAAACAAACACAGACTCAAATGTCCCCAAACTTCCTTAAGTTGTTAATAAAAGGGACAGTTCACCTCAACATTTCCTCACACTACAGTGCTTCTAAACTTCTATAATAATTTTTTTGTTTGAACAAAAAAAAAAGTTATTCTGAAAAAATGATAACAACATCGCCTCACATTCAAAGTAGGAAAAAAAAATACGAAAGGCAATGCCTGCTTTTTCCCTCTATGACATTGTTTAGTATATCTTTCCTTGTGTTCACAGAAGACAGAGGGCCCCATCATACACTTAGCGCAAGACGTGTTTGGCGCTATCTGTTGCTATTTTAGGATTAGCGCAATCCTAATTTTTACGTTTTGTTTAGCAAATCCAATTGCGCTACTTTGTACAGTCATGGGTGTGCTGGTCTAAAAAGGAGGTGGGTAAAGGTGTTTTGTTGGCACAATGCTATTTTTGAATATTTCGAGTATTTGGATAAAACTCAGTTTTCTTGACCACACTTCATTATTATTGTTCATTTATTTGTTTGCTTGAAATTAGAACTAAATTTAGAAATAGTTTTGAAACAAATCTTTCAAAAGTTTGTTGCTTAACAAACAAAATTAAATATGTAGGCTAATAATTGTCTTCAGTGAAGTGCATACAACACTCTTTCCTTACTCCATGAAAGGAGTAAAGAGTAAAAGTAAAGAGAAAGTAAAGAGGCCGAATGGAGTAGGCGTGTTCTTTATCCTCGCACTGCAGATGGTCTGTTTAAACGTTTTTTAAATGTTTATTTGCATTTTATACGAGTATAATTTTGTATATATATATATAAAAATATTATACCATGAGTTGCATACGTTGGCACATATAATTCAAAATCATTTAACACAATAACATGCAGTCACACAGCCAAGTGTGAAGTGTTCATGTGGATGTAACTGTTTAGATTTTTTTTTTATCAAAATAAACTATCAAATAATACATACAGTACAGCTGAGGTCAAAAGTTGTAAGATTAATCTAGAAAAAAAAAATTATTATTATGTATTATTAATTAATTTGGCAAAATAAAAGGGACCACACAAAATGTATGTTTATGTAAGCACAGACCACAATATATACTTCAGATAAAATGGAAAATATTTGGATCAAAAATTCATTCATTCATTTTCTTTTTGGCTTAGTCCCTGTATTCATCTGTGGTCGCCACAGCGGAATCAACCGCAAACTTATCCAGCAAGTTTTTACGCAGCGGATGCCCTCCCAGCCGCAATCCATCTCTGGGAAACATCCACACACACATTTACACACACACTCATACACTACGAACAATTTAGCCTACCCAATTCACCTGTACCGCATGTCTTTGGACTGTGGGGGAAACCGGAGCACCCGGAGGAAACCCACGCAAAGGCAGGGAGAACATGCAAACTCCAAACAGAAACGTCAACTGAGCCGAGGTTCGAACCAGCAACCTTCTTGCTGTGAGGCGAGAAGTCTTACCTACCGCTCCACTGCATTGCCTAGATCAAAAATTCAATATACTTTTTTTATAATTTGTAAAATTATACAAATTTTATATACTTCATCATAACGATTCTTAACCCTGTTAAAACCGACACATGAACAAATAGTCAGAATATTCACATTTTATGGAACTGAAATGTTTAATAATACTTTCATCAAGATCCATGTTGTTTTCACAAATGTACAAAAAGTACAGAAGCAAGCCATGTCAAGGTGCTATAATTCTTTAGTGAGTAAAATGAAATTGAAAAGAAATTTGGGTTGGGATGAGATGTAATTCTTTGTGACCAAACAAATGTATTTATACATTTGTACTTATACTTTTACCACTTCATACTATTTCAGTTGTGTTAGGAACTGTGAAATGTACTGTGTAATGTGTAGTTGTGCCCCTGCTGTGTTTTGTTCCAACTGGCCCATTTTCACCAGGATTTTACATTGACAAGATTTACATGAGAATGAGGAAACAATGTTGTCTGAAGCTCACGGTATGTTATTTTCATGTACTGAATTCTTACTATTCAGCGATGCCTAGGTATATCCGTATTTCATTCTATGGTGCTTTTAAATCAACAGGGTCCTGATGTCAACAGTTCATCCCTCACAGTTTATGCTTGTTTTTCGAACTCCTTAAATGCACTATAGAGGCTGCAGGTGATCTGGACCACTGCTGATGACATGAAAAAGAGCAAGTTAGCGGCTAAAGTCGCGCTGTCAGCTTTATTCTGAATCATATTACTTCTCTCTCCGCCGCTGAGTTCAATCTGTCACATCGTATTTTTTTTTTCTTGCGGCTGTGTCGGTCATTTCTTCATGCCCCCTCCTGTCTCGCTCTGTTCTGCGTCCTCCTGGGTCTGTGACTGTCTCATTGGGTTGTGCGATCATATGCGAGTGTCCTCTGTGAATATAAATATTTCTCTCTGTGTTCCTGGAACTAGAGATGATTCTTTTTTTTACATTCACGGCTCGTCTTAATAGACTTCATCCCTTCCCTATAGCCCCCTTTCTCCCATCTTGTACCTCTTTAACGGATAGAGAGTTATAACCAGTGTAATTTGACAAAGCGGTACAGCATCAGTGCCATATGTTGAGATTCAGGGCATCTGCAGTGCAGTGACGCACATTCATATACACAGAGTCCAGATGGGCTTCATGCCGTTCAAAACAACAAAAAAGAACATTTTAACTCTTAAAGCTGAGTGCTGAGCTGAGATACATCATCAAAAAAGATGATAATCAAAATGACAACTATCAAACAGAAATTTCATTGTAGATTATTTTTGGTCCTCCTTTTGCAAACTATATACATATGAACAGTATGAACTGTATGTATGTACTGTTTATACATACACTCACTGGCCACTTTATTAGGTACACCTTACAAGTACCGGTTCAAGAAACCAGTCTGAGATGAGTCACGCTTTATTATCCTGCTGAAAGTAGCCATCAGAAGATGGGTGCGCTGTGGTCATAAAGGGATGGACATGGTCAGCAACAATACTTAAAAAAGGCTGTGGTGTTGACATGATGCTCAATTGGTACAAATGGGTCCAAAGTGTGGCAAGAAAATTTCCCCCACACCATTACACCACCACCACCAGCCTTAATCATTGATACAAGGCAGGATGGATCCATGCTTTCATGTTGTCAATGCTAAATTTTGACCCTACCATATAAATGTCGCAGCAGAAATAGAACCAGGCCAGGCAAAGTTTTTCCAATCTTCTATTGTCCAATTTTGGTGAGCCTGTGCTAATTGTAGCCTTAGTTTCCTGTTCTTACCTGACAGGAGTTGCACAGTGTGGTTTTCTGCTGCTGTAGCCCATCCGCCTCAAGGTTGGACTTGTTGTGTGTTCAGAGATGCTCTTCTGCATACCTCAGTTGTAATGAGTGGTTATTTGAGTTACTGTTGCCTTTCTATCAGCTGGAACCAGTCTGGCCATTGTCCTCTGACCTCTGGCATCAACAAGGTATTTGCACCCACAGAACTGTCGCTCACTGGATATTTTCTCTTTTTCAGATCATTTTCTGTAAACCCTAGAGATGGTTGTGCGTGAAAATCCCAGTAGATCAGCAGTTTCTGAAATACTCAGACCAGACCGTCTGGCACCAACAACCATGCCACATTCAAAGTTACTTAAATAAACTTTTTTCCCCCATTCTGACGCTCTGTTTAAACTGCAGCAGATCGTCTTGACCATGTCTACATGCCTAAATGCATTGAGTTGTTGCCATGTGATTGGCTGATTAGAAATTTGCGATAACAAGCAGTTGGAGAGGTGTACCTAATACAGTGGCCAGTGAGTGTATGTATATGTGTAATAGAAGGTAAATTTATTAGCCCTCCTATGAAAATCAATCTTTCCAAAATATTTACCTCAATGACATTATAACCTATTTAAGTCCTTAAAGGTTCAGGACACCCTGGATAACTTTTTTTTATATTAACAGATGTGTGTGTGTTGAGCATCAGTTAAGACAATGTTAGCACCTGTCAGCTTTAATTGTGGGGAAAACTGGATAATTTTGAGCTTTTGACAGCTAATTTCAGCTTTCGGTTTTAAAATGATTTTTGGGGCGGGATCAAAATCGGCGACATAGTGCAGTACTGCAAGTGCAATGATGACGTGTCGGTTTCTCATTATTATTCATAGCGGAGTTTTCTTATCCTATGAGAAGAGCCGGCTGCTTAATTATTCATGAGACCTGCCAGACCTGC